ATCTCTATGCAACAACTTTCTGTACTTCTGCTCAGATTTGCAGCTGTTTCTTGAAATATGAATGAGGATAGTGATAGTGAGATGCTGGCTACAGCCACATTTGTAGTCGTGATGAAACAGCAGGTAGCCGCGGTAGCTCAGACTGCCAGTTCACACCGCTGCAACTTTTCTCTGCAACGTTCTAAAGCCAAATCTTTGGTCTGAACTGGGCTGAAGATGTCAGTTAGTGATGTGACGTTCGCGAACGAGCCGAGTCTTTGAACCGGCTCTTTGAAGTGAACGAGTGAACCGACTCTTCAGAGTGAACGAGTCAGTTCCTAATTCACGTTGTGTTGATGACCCCCCTCGGTTAGAAACGAACGGTAGGAAGCTAACCCACTATCCGCCAGCGCTTGCTTGTATTGACATGCTTGTTGTTTATAAAGGGCGTTGCTATGGCTACACCAAACTTTATATGTGCGGGGTCTATTCTGGGTCCACGTTACAATATCCAGATCACGTGATGCGATAAATCAGCGATGCGATTCGTCGTTGAACCCACTAACACCCGCCCTCCACACACATACAGCAAAAAACAACAACAACAAAAAAAAATAACGAACGAACGAACTGCATCTTTGAACCAGCTCTTCAAAGTGAACGAGAACTCCCATCACTAACAGTTCTATATTTGTGATATGCCAGTTTCTTTTTAAATATCTTGCACTTGATATTTTGGGGGTCAGCTTCACAGATTTGGAAACTATTCCAGACACTTCACTTTTCCAACATCTTGTTAGCGTATCTGTTCGCCTGTCACTTGTAGTCAACCTGTCTCAGCTTCAGGACTGTTCGTGACTAACATTAGATGAGAACAAGTCGGAGTCACAGAATCACTAAGTTTATATGACCTTGTCTGAGAATAACTAATAATAATGAATCATGTTGAATTTTTTTTTAATTTATGGGATTTTGAGGGATTTTTAGGGTAATGTATATTAAGGAAAGGTATCACCAGAGGATCCACGGCACGATATCATCATAATACTAAAGTCACGATACAGTATTATTGCAATTTTAAATGTGTTCCGATATGCTAAGTATTGCGATTAAATATATTGTGATATATTACTTTTTTTCAACTATAAAGTTTGTCCCCAAAGGAAAACTTTGTCAACATCTGTGTTATCTAATAACATGAAGTTTTCAGTTTAATTTAAGTTTTAATTTCTTATTTGTAATATTAAGTATTGATATAATAAAAAAAATCTATACCTGGCACTGTGTGACAATATTGCCACATGAAAATATCGCAACACAATGCTGAATCAATGTTTCCCCCCCACCCCTAATGCATATATATGGTATAAAATCCCGAAGCATTAAAGTAGGTATTTGGATGTTGGTTACTATGGCAACGATCTAAGATTCGAAGTTTCACAGCATTCAGGTCAGACCTTGAAATATCGTCGTCTATTTGATTGCCATGAAATTTTGTAAATACATTAATTTGGTGCCAGTAAGCAAATGTTAGTATGCTAATGCAGAACAAACACCGTGTACATTATACCTGCTTAACAACAGCATGTTAGCATGCCAATGTAACACCCACTGTGGCTAAGTACAGCCTCACAGAGCTGCTAGCGCGTCTGTAGGTCCATCTATTCGTCTTTTAGCTCAAGTACTTTTTGTACGTCTGTAGTTTTATTTGACCCTGCCATCTTGGCTTTATCTCTGTTTTTATCCTTGAAGAACTAAAAAATATATCTAAAAATATATATACGATTTGAATTCAAGGTAGAAAATGGAAGTTAAGCAAAGAGAAAGAACTAGGGCCCTCTGTGTGGAGTTTCCCCTGTGTCTCTGTGTGAGGTGGTATTAAAGTAAATGTCTCTCAAGTTTCAAAAAATGCCTGTTTGGATAGTTTGAAGAATTTGGACTAAAGTGTCTGCTTATATAACTTCCCATCAGCACTCTGCGGCTGTGTCATGGCTTTTTCTCAGCAGTTGTCCTGATTCCAAACAAGCTAATCCTGGATCCGCCCTTTAGATCAACATTTTCCACACGCTAAGTCGTTTAGTAAAAACTTTCTATCATTATTTTACACCAGATGTTGAATCTTGAACTTTCATCGACCTTTTTCCTCTTGTAGGAAATCATCTGAATTATGAAAATAATAACAGGCAGGCCTGTTGATCAGTTGAGAGGCATTAAACACTGTCCTAAATCCTCAACCTTTGTCATTTCACCTCTCCTTAAATACTGTCAGTGAAGTTAAAAATACTCTCTTATCTATAAGTATTTTCATTCACCTCATCAGGGAAGAAGTAAGTAACTTTTTAAACAAAGAATCTCTCATGTGAAATTCTTTACTCTGCGGTCTTGGCCAGGAATCCCTTGAAAAAGAGATTTTAAATCTCAATGGGAACATTCCTGGTAAAATAAAGGTAGGAACAAGGCATGAAGTCAAAGACAGCCGGCTCTGTTATTTGTTCAGTCTGAATGTGACCAAACTCCAGGTCCAGTTCTGTTTGATTTCTTCTTGACTTCTGGCTGTGTGACTGGTGTTAATCAGTTTAATCACTGCACCACTGGCCCTCCCACATTGGCCACAGCTCTCTCAGCAAGGGTGCCAAACCCATGCTGTTAGGCTCAGACACAAATAGGCCTGTAATTAACTCTAATTAGGCAGAAATACTTAGAAAATGAGGTGTGCTTGAAGCTGAAAGTGAAAAGGAAAATGTGATCTTTGACATTGTCCAGCATTGTTTGCCAACATGTAGTTGCTGCTGGAGGGAGAGGAAGGTCACCTACAACTTTTGGCTCAACAAAACTCATCCATACACTATACAATGGATACAAAATTTCTTTATGTTTCAGCAGCACTGTGGTTAAGGTGGTTAGGTTCAGGCAAAAAAAACACTTGGTTATGGTTTGGACAAGATCATGTTTTGGCTTAAATCACTCAACTTTGGTGGCAAATGTAGTGACGGGTTGCTAAAAAACATTCTCCTTTCATGGCACCAGAGCCACTAAAAATGCAGCCACGGGTTGCAAAATGAACACCCACATTTGGTGGCACCAACACTGATAGAAACACAGCCACAGGTCACTAAATAACACCCACATTTGGTGGTGCAGATTTAGATGTAAACACAGCCACAGGTTGCTAAAAAATACCCATGTTTGGTGACGCAAATGCTACCGGAAATTCAGCTACAGGTCACTAAAGAACACCAACGTCTGGTGGCACAAATTGCTAAATACACCTACACTTAGTGGCACAAACGCTGCTAGAAACGCAGCCACAGGTCACTAAAGAACACACATGTTTGGTGGCACGAATTCAGCTGGAGAGGCAGCCACGGTTTGAAAAAGAACAACCCATGTTCTGTGGCACAAACACAGATGGAAGCACAGTCATGGGTTGCTAAAGAACACCCATGTTAGGTGGCCCAAATTCTGCTGTAAAAGCAGCCACAGGTTACTAAAAATCACCCATGTTTGGCGGCGCAAATGCCGCTGGAAATTCAGCTACAAGTCGCTAAACAGCACCCATGTTTGGTTGCACAAATTGCTAAAAACCACCAAGACAAAATGGTAAAAACACAGATAGAAATGCAGCCACAGGTCGCTAAAGAACACCCGTGTTTCATGGCACAAATGCAGCGGGAAAGGCAGCCACAGTTTGCTAATAAAAACAAACACGTTAGGTGAAACAAACGCCAATGGAAACGCAGCCATGGGGTACTAAAGAACACCAACATTTGGTGGCCCAAATTCTGCTGTAAACACAGCCACAGGTTGCTAAAAATTACCCATGTTTGGCAGCGCCAATGCCGCTGGAAATTCAGCTACAAGTCGCTTAAGAATACCCATGTTTGGTTGCACAAACACAGCTGGAAACGCAGCCATGGGGCACTAAAGAACATTCATGTTTGATGGCACAAACACAGCTGGAAAGGCAACCAGGCTTTGATAAAAACTACCCACTTTTGGTGGCGCAAACGCAGCCGTGGTGCGCTAAAAAACACTCACGTTGAGTGGCACAAATGCTGCTGGAAGCAAAGCCACGAGTCCATAAAAACACCCATGTTTGGTGTCATAAAAGCAGCTAGAAATGCAGCCACAGGTTGCTAAAGAACACTCACGTTTGGTGGCACAACATCAGCTGGAAACACAGCGATGAATCACTAAATAACAATTGGATGTGTTGTTTGCTGGTCTTGGACAGTGGTCTGCAGCTGTCTTGCCAAGGTGTCACACCATCCACCATCCCCTCCACCTCCCAATGACAAAGTGAGCTCATATACTACGTCACTTCAGAAAAATTGAAATATCTATGAAACATACAAATGTAAAGTGTCCGTGGTTTGCAGAAATGTACAGTGCCAACATTTTCTTCTGCTGACTGGGCTGTTAAACAATAACAACACTTTCACATCTAGAGATGTCGAGAAGCTTGGCTCAGCGCCCGAATCTGATTAAGACAGTGAAGTATTAATTACTTAAAATATCCTGTAAATCCCAATCCAAACACGCAACTCCTATCCCAGAGAGAACAATCTACCCATGTTGCAATTCTTTCTGTTTTTCAAATTCAAAATCACAACACAGTATCTAAAAATAATGTGACAACAGTTCATTGTTCACTGACAACATCTCACACGTGTAAACAGCATCTCACATGGACCTGTAACGCGACCATCAAGTCGTCTCCTCACGGCAAAGCAGAATGCAGGCCTGCTGAGGTTTAGAGGGATAAGCTTGATCAAATCCTCCCAGATTGATCTTTGACACTGTCTACCCAGTAAAGCTGCACTGCAGGTAGGGAGGACAGCGGCGGGCGGGGTTGTGATGGGAACAAGGACAATTAGAGTCGGGGAGGGGAGGAGGGGGGAAGATGCTAGCTTTGGCGGAGAAGTTTGACCTTTTCCGGTGCCCATGTGACTGGAAAGAGGAGGATGAGAGGATTAGGGATGAACATATAAAAGCACAACACGGACAACACACCTCACAAACTAAAGAACAAGAAGCAAGAAGAAGAAAGAACTACTGTCAGAGCAGAGAACGGCAGTGTCCTCTTGGGATATCTGTGACAACAGGTGAGAACAAACTCTACTGATGCAACTGCCTCATTGACTTAACTTGAAGTTGACCTTAATTATAGAAGCTTTTATGCAGTTTCCATGGCGATAGTAAGTACTCGTGGACTGGTTATAGATTAAATTAGTCATGTCAGCACTGAACTAGCAGACAAGGCAGGAATTTAGATGAGGGGAACTTTGATGAGAACGATGGCTAGCTAAAACGTAAGTGATATAGCAAACAGTTTGGATGCAAGAAGTTTGACGTGTTCTACTAAGTCTGTGCTAGCAACATAGTTCGACGTTGCAATTTAAATGGGTAAAAGTGGGTAAAAAAATTTCACATATTGTGGGTTGAAGCACAGATGATAATCCTAAAACGCATTAGTAGAAACCTGAAGGGGAGAACAGGTGTGAACCCAGCATAAAGAGGATTGACTTCAGGGGCAAGAGTCACAACAACAGATGGCTGATAACATGTCGGGCAGCTCTGGTGCAGCTTCGGTGATCTCTACACATGAGATCAGGATGACAGTCAGCTCAGGGGAGCCTCTGTTACTCTGTCCACAGGCAGTCTAGATGTGCTGATGCAGGTGGCGCATGTTTTTTGAGTTACATACAGTGACAGAGCAGGTTGGTTTCCACTTTCGTCAAACTGTTTTAACAGGATTACCAGTGTCAGGAGTCAGAGGAAGGGGGGTGAGAGCTTGAGCTGAGGCAGGATACTGTGTAAGATCAGGTGGGAGATGAGGACAAGAGGGACAGACAGGGACGTTTCGAGAGGTCTTGACTTATGTTTTGATGCAGTGATGTGAATGTGATCTTAAAGTTTGATATCTTAAGTACCAAACATGAGCAGCTGAACTGGTGTCTAAGTTGAAGCTAATGGAAAAATCCAATGTCCCATTGCACATGGCATCCCTGTTGTTCAAGAAGGGCAATTAGCCCGCTGTGGATCAGAGTGGGATTAGAGCTAATCTGGCTGTTTAAACTAATCTGCATAATCTCCTCTGATTGGCATTGAGAGCTGGAAGGAAACAGGATTAGCAGAGGGCAGCAGACAGAGAGGACAGGAGAGGATAAGTCAGAGGAAACTGTGATCGCAGTGTGGTGACACATTCTCAAAAACACCTTTTGTCTTCCAGAGACCCTCAGTAGCAATGAACGCCAGCCCCCCTGCAGGAAGCGCCCTGGCTCCTGGTGGAGCAACAGGCCCCACCACACCCAAGAAGGGGCCACCCAAGTTCAAGCAGAGGCAGACTCGTACATTCAAGAGCAAGGCCCCCAAGCCAGGCCAGAAGGGGTAAAGAAAATTATACATTTGGACATGTTAAACCCAAACAGCCAAACCAGGTCACTCACTTGTTTGTTTTCTGTCCTCCAGCTTTGGTGACGATATCCCTGGCATGGAGGGTCTTGGCACAGACATCACAGTGGTGTGCCCATGGGAAGCCTTCGGCGACATGGAACTCAGCGACTTGGCCAAATACGGCATCATCTAAACCTGCTGCCTCCTGCCTTCCTTGCCTGCCTGTACCTCTCCTCTGCCTAATCCTCTCCGCCCTGCCTTCTCTCCATCCTGGCTTGGCAGGCCATGATAAGGCTGCCAGCAAACCCCCTAATGCCCTCTCGTCTACCTACCTCAAGCTTCACTCCACTAAGTGGATGGAAAGCATAATAATGCTCTTCTTTTTATGTTATTATATGATACTGTTTATATTATATATATATACTTGAAATGGATGACGAGAAAAAGACTCCACATACCTTATTCCCTGTTCCCTCATCCATCTATGATAGTCTTCTCCCAACTTCTCCTCCCTCCTCATTCGGACTCCCCTCTTTCCGTCCACCACTCCAAACCCACGGCAATGGACGCAAGCAAAGCACTAGTTAATACTAGCATGTATTTGCTTCTAGCTGTCTAAAAAAATGTAAATATTTTGTTCTCAGTGTCGCAACCTTTTGACCTTGTCTTCCCACCTTTTGTACTTCCTCCCGCTTTTATTTTGCATTGTTATTTTTTACTGCAAAAGGTCACTGTAAACACCTAGGGATGCAAGGAGAGCGTGCAACATGCTGTAATGATGAAAACAACAATGCACCTTCACGTGAGGATGAACTCCCTTTTTATCCCCTGTCTCTCTCCTTGCTGCTATCTCAACCCACGTCCCTCCTTAGAGAAAACAAAAAGTGTATACTGTATGTTTCGCGAGCGCAATACCACAGAAAATGTACTGTGAGCTGGTATGTCCTGATAGCTGCAGTAAAATGTGTATATTTTTAGTACTCATGTTGTCCGTGTCTTTTTTTTCTCTGTATCACCCAAATAAAAGATGAAAAGAACATGGTAGGGTTGAAATGAACAAGCAAAGGGAAACAATCATAACTTGGTATTTTGGATGAGAAATAAAATGACAGGGCTCTCCAACAATTCCCAGCTGTCTTCTAATTGTTATATTTCCTTCTGTGTCTGAACTACAGCGCTGTTTGAGTACATCTAATAATAATTAACGCTCATTTTAAGGCTTCCTGAGAGGCTCTTAGAAAGGAAAGGAAAACAAATCACGGTGATAACAAGAAACTGTTCTTTCACATCTCACAAAGAAAATAAATCATCTGGTAATAAGTATAATGTATCTTACAAATCAAACCCCTGACCATATTCAAACTGTAAAGGCTCAGTCGACCAAAAAAATTGTTAATGCCTCGTTTCCACTTGCATATGTGACCAGTGTCTGTACATCGTAAATATACAGATGATGCCTCTAATGTCCAACGCAAGGAGGTGCATTTCTTTATGGATGGATAGAAATCTGATAGAAACTACCTGTAGCCATGACAGAGAGGCTAATTCTGTCAATTTTTCACCATCTAGTAGTTTGGAATATGCTCTAGGAACATTACCAGGGCAAAAACAGGACCAATACTGCATGGCAACAAATAAATGAATATGTTGGCCTGCCAGGTACGAGGCATGTTTTGTGAAATATCTAATTAAAAAGACGTACGAGCAGCTGAACAAGTCATAATGATAGTCTGACTATACATCATTTTTAACCATATCTTACTATATAATGACGAAAACTCTGTGTGTGTGTCTGTTCCACGTTTTCCTCCTCACTGACTTGGTCAATCCATGTGAAATTTGGCACAGTGGTAGAGGGTCATGGGAGAATGTGAATGAAGCAATATTACATCAATTGGCCAAAGGGGGGCGCTATAGCAACTGACTGAAGTTGCAAACTTTGAATGGGCATATCTCATGCCCCGTATGTCGTAGAGACATGAAACTTTACACAGAGATGCCTCTCCTCATGAGGAACACATTTGCCTCAAGAACCCATAACTTCCGCTTATATAGATTTTCCGCCATTTTGAATTTTTTGAAAAATACTTCAAATCGATCTCTTCCTAGGAAGTTTGAGCGATCTGCATGAAACTGGGTGAACATAATCTAGGGACCAATATCTGAAGTTCCCTCTTGGCAAAAGTTGGAAAACTTACTAAAACTGAGCTTCTATAAGGCAATGAATATTGCTGAGGGCGTGGCTCATCACAT